CGATTTGAATACCCCAGGCATTATAAAAAAAAAACAGTTTTTTTAACCCTCGCTCATGTTAAAATGACCTGAATTGATAGCAAATAATAAGAGCTATATTTCAGGTATTTTAACAACGTTTTTTATGTAAAAAAAACTAGTATAATTAAATTCTAATAAACTGTTTTTTTAATCAAATATTTTATCCCCCTTACCTCTAAACAATATACCAATATTGTTCTACAATATATACCACCGAATTGTCTTTGCAAGAGGAAACATTTATTATTAATAACTTTTTTGAGAAAAATGCATTTCTCTAAAGGATTTAATTCCGTTTATACTTTTCCCAATTTCCATACCGTTTTAGAGAAAAAATAATCAAAACGGGTCTCTGTACTGGGTGGTCCTAATTGTATTTCGGAAATTTCGGCAGCATATTCTCCGCTAAAATAAGTAAGCGGAGATACAGGGTGTAGATTAAGTCGTCATTTGTATTGCGTTTTTTTTTTCGAATTAATTTCAGTACTAATATAAATATTTGGATGAATATTGGTGTTTTGACACGATACATTTTATTTCAATGTCAGTATGACTCCTACATAGAGGGGGCGCCACCTACATACTATTAAGCTGTTATGAAGAGTAGTAAATAGTAACTTTTCGTCCGTACTTGTATAAAACTAATTTTTCTACTTATTTTTATTTGTAAAATGGGTTTGTAAAAAAAGTTTTCCGATTACATTTCGGACCACCCTGTATATTTAGTATAAGTATATTAATTTAACAATATTATTACTAAAACTGTAGATTATTTTTGCTAACATATTGCTTATTGTGCTTACGTTGCTTATTATTATTCATTAAAATAATCTAGCTGTCCAAAATAATTATATTTAAAAAGAAACTTTATACAGGGTGTCTCAATATTCCGTGGAGATAGAACTACTACGTATTTTTGGAATCAAAATAAGTTTGTTGGACACATTTATTTACCTCTATACAAAAGTCCTTCGTTTGTCCGCTAGAGGTCATCAATCAAAAATAAAACCGAACGTTAATTAACTTAAAGTTTATTAATTTGTTTAAGTTTTTTACAAAGCTAATTGTCAAATAATAATTTGTGATACTAATATAAAATGTCATATTTTCGCCAACTGGATTATTAGAGCATAGTAGATTTTATGTGCCTACATAGCTTAATGTGACAAAAAACATTTTTTGGAAGATAATTTTAGAATTTATTTTCCTCAAAAAGTATGCGCTGTGGCTTTTTTATACTAACGTTTATGTAGTTGTGTGGGTAGTTTTCACCCTTCCCGTACTTTTTCTTGATTTTTGTGAAAATCCATCCATCCATACATATATAAAAGCTCAAATGCTTTTTTTGTTACATCCATCCCGCCAAAACCGCTTCACCAATCTTGATCATTCTTTTTTTTAAATAAAAGTTATATATGTCTAGATTTGTTATGAAGTAGTTTTATATTGTTTAATGGCTATATCTTTGTGTAATACGACTAAATACTAAAACATACCTGAAAAACAGCTATACACAATACTTCCAGAAATAAATTATTTATCATTGTCAGTGGTGTGCCAGTTAGATTATATATCAAGTTTTTAGATATTTTAGGGGTCAGTTAAAACCGTCAGCATTAGATACATAAATATCAAGAATAAAATTCTACAGAAAGAATTAGAAGAGATTATTGAAATCATCAACCAAATGGGTAAAGTTAGTAAAAATTTATATAAACCTTCGTGACCTCTGGATTATACACATAAAAATTTGCGTAAAGAATCAATTAAATGACATTAGTTAATAATTTGGTTTGGTTAGTGAATTGAAATTCATACCTATAGGGAGTAGAATAGGGAATGAATGTTTGTTGTACGAAAATGCATTACTATAGTAAGTATAAATCGATAAATCGATAAATCGATAAATCGATAAATCGATAAATCGATAAATCGATAAATCGATAAATCGATAAATCGATAAATCGATAAATCGATAAATCGATAAATCGATATTAGCGACAATTTTAAAATAGCCAAAATTTGTTTTTTTCGAAATATCTAGTAAGCCATGAACATTTTCAAAAATCTGAAAGGCGCATATTTATGACCCCACAAAACTGCAATTCTTTCCCCATTTAACCGACTCTCTATCTCCAGTAGTTTCCGAGATGCCCATAGAGAACATCGTAGGAAACTCACCCTGTATACAGAGTGGCGCCTCTCATACGACGCGGAAGCTCCATTGAGAACGGTATCGAAATGAAATTTTGTGAACATGTGTAGGTTAATTCAGAGCACTTTTTAAAATTATAGAGAGTTCCACAGGATGTCACCAAAAAAGTTACGTATCAAAGTTGTGTTTTTTGTAATGGAGCACCCTATGTATTAATTCATTTTCGGATTCAGGGAGAAAAATAAAAGTGAGTTTTATTAAAGAAGTATATGACTAAAATGTAAGGTTTTTGACATATTTAACATTTCATAAAAATAAAGAATAATTTTTAAATTACAATCAAAGCTACCTAAATTGGAATTTACCTGGTATAGCCTAATATGTAGTTAAAATAACTATTGTACTTTAAATCAAATTAAAACTTGACAAAAAAGTTATACAGGGTGAGACAAAATTAATATTGAACATTGGTCACCTTTAAAAGCAAATTACTTTTTTATTTTAAATGAAACGCCAAGTATATTATTTCGATATTCAATAGGGTCCCTTGAAAATGTTCCTTCAAAATACTAATAAAGTTGCCTACTCATCAAAAAATAAAGATTTACAAGATATTTACATTTTTATGATTTAGTGTCAGTAGATCTTTATTATTTGATAAAATCTAGGTGGCTGTGATATGTCTGACGTTACTTCAACATAGCTGTCTAATTAGTCCAACTTTAACAACTAGTTGTTAAAGTTGGACAATTTTGTGTGACTTAAAAAAATCAGAAATTTGACGAGAATGCAAATTTATCTTACATCAGAGAGAATTCATATGATTCTATTAGTTGGTGAATGCAGTGTGTATTTACCAACTTAATGAATACTTAACTGCTCCTGATTATATCTAGTCTCGGTTTTTTATGGGGATATGTTAAAGAGAGTGTTTACAAAACTTGGCGGCAACATGAGAGAAATAATTGTAGCTGCTTTTCGAAGTAGAACTCCACATATGCCTTTTAAAATGAAAAGATCTTTTGAAAACAGAATGCTTTTAGGCAGTTAAGTGTTAACAGGAAAGGAAGCATTTTGAGCATTTGATTTCATCTAGCTAATTTTTATCACATAGTTATATGTTTATATAGGTATCTAATTTAATTCTCTAATAATTAAAATATGTTTTAAACGTGTATCTTTTTATTATTGTTGAGTATTTTACTCTATATAGTTTAATTTTTGTTAAATTAACTAAAGGTATATCACAGCCACCTAGGTTTTTTCAAATAATAAAAATCTACTGACGTAAAATCATGAAAATTAAAATATCTAGGAGAATCTTTGTCTGAGGCGTAGGCAACCTTAATAATATTTTGAAAATATATGAATTCCCCATTGAACACCGGAATAATATACTAGGTATTCCATTTAGAATAAAGTAGTAACTTGGTTTTAAAAGTGACCGTTGTTCCATGTTAATTTTGTCTCACCCTGTAGGTATATCTTTTCCGGTCAAATTTTAATTCGGTTTAATATACAATGGTTGTTGTAATTAAATATCAGGCTATACAGGGTTAACATAACATAATTAACATACATACATAATATAATTATCATTTAGGTAGCTGTTATTGAAATTTAAAATTTACTCTTCATTTTCACAAAATGTGAAATATGTCAAAATCCTAACAGTTTAGGCTTATACTTCTTTAATAAAACTCACCTTTTTTTTCCCAGAATCCAAAAATCAATGAATATATAGGGTGTTCCATTACAAAAACACAACTTTGATGTGTAACTTTTTTTGGGGATACCCTGTATAACTCTATATATTTTTATAAAATGCTTTCAATTAACCTACATAAGCTCCCAAAATTTCATTACGATATAAACTCCTTAGAGCTTCCGCGTCGCATGAGAGGCGCCACCCTGTATTCATTTGGGTTAATGCCCTTAGTAAAATAGGAAGGTTCCTAGATAGAATGAACTTTTTGTAATTTTACTTGCAATGTCTTGTACATATGAGAAATTGTCTTTATTGCCTACAGGTTGCATGTGCTTGTGAACGATTTTCGGCAAATTATTTTTTAATATTTTAAGAAAGTATTTATAAATATTTACTTGTATCACAGCTTGTACTACTACTATGAAAATGTCCCTCTGATTTTGTTATTACATTCCCCAGAAACGTTCGGCAATGTGGAGCAACTTGGCGTGTTGGGTCAACAATAATTCAATTTGCGACATTTTATTAGTCATCATTGTATCAAGTAGCACAAGTACCTAAGTCTGTATAACTGGTTTCTTCTTAAAAACCTACAAAACAGCAGAAGACTGTAGTAAATAACTGACTGTAGGAAGTCTGTAGGATGTAACAATGTTCGTAAAGAAGAGTTTAATAAGTTGTTGACTTCCAAATTCAGCAAGTAATTCATAAAAAATGAAAGACTAACAGAATCGGACCTATGCCAATATTAAAAATAAATCTTATTTAGACGTGAGGAATCACACCACGCGAGATGCCAAATCTTTTTGAATCACCCTATATAAAAATACCAGAAATACCTATGAATTATTAACGTTTGTTTAATAGATATAAGCCATTAAAAGAATTATTTGACAAAAATGTTGGAATGAATACAGTAAACTTTCTGGGACATTTGTGTAACTTTCAAAGCTATGTTTCGATATTTTTCACTTCAGATCTCCTTTAAAAAGTAAACAGTTACTGCCTTGCATCTCTTTTACTGAACTTACCTATACATTATGGATAGATCTTTGGATAGATAAGGTTTAAATAAAAGAAGTATATATTTTCATAACATATATTTTATTTGAGCTTTCATTGCGATCAAATACAACAAAATAATTAAATAAGTTTAAAATTTTCAATATAACATAAAAGAGCTTTGCCAAGATTATCAGCTAATGCGTATACATTTTTTTGTATTATTCAGTGTAGTATAATTATTGATAAATAGTCATTTTTCTTAAAACTTTTCATGGAAGAAGAGATATTTACGACATACGTATACTTAGTTTTTGAGATTCTGAAAGTAGTTTATTGCAAATTCTTTTTATAAAACGCGAATTTTTGTTTATTTTTCTCATAATCCCACACATATTAATAATTTAAATTTATATAGGTCACATCGAAAAAGTAATTTTTAGAGATGACTTTGTTTATATTTACAATAGACCACCATCACAAATCTACAATTTTAATTATTTTCGAAAAACAGTTTCACTGAAAAAGGAAGATAAAAATTTGTTCGAAACAAAATGAGATTTACAACTACGACTTTTGTTAATACTTTAAACGATTCTGGTTTGTCACCAACAACTAGAGTTTATCTTATCGAGATAGAACACACCGCTGTAAACTAAACTTTCTCGGCAAAACTCCATCCAGAATTATTATGAGAAAAATAGTACGGATCAGGTGGTAGTTTTGCCAAACCTAGTATAGAGTTTGTACAGAAATTTTAAAATAATTATATATTTTTTGATTTTATTCAAATTTCGTATTATCTTATTATAAGTACCCTCCAAGAGAAAATCAAATTTACAGCGGTGAGCACGCTTCATTGAGAAAATTAAATGTATCCTTAGAATACTGACTTATACAATATATACACAAAGTTATGACTTGAAATTCGTATAACAATGATAATCACTGATTTTTTTGCGTTTGCAAAAACTTTACAACCTGAATGGCTATACTACATCGTATTACTACTGGTTTTTCTCTGTTTTGACGATATGATAACATCACAATGTACCGACTCTACCGGTCGTTCGCCTTCAAAACTACCTAACTGTATCTTTACAAAAAAAGAGGAATGTATTTAACATTATTTACACGTATTTACTAGACAACTGCTTGGCCAATTCGGTATACTTAAGGAATTTAGAATGCGGACTCTCTTCAAAGCTGCCAGTAGCCGGGGGACTTTTAGAAGTCACCGTCGAGGTACTCGCACCCGGAAGAACGTTGGTACCTTTTAATGGCACACCTACGCTCGTACTGCTGCTACTACTTGAACTTTGACCCGTCGCCTTGACCGCGATAGGGTCCGGAATGACACCGTCTTTAACAAAATGCATCTTTGACAAATGATGTCGATACGCGCCTTTGGATATGAAAGGAGTATCGCAAAACGCACACTTCATAATCGAATCGGGAGTCATAACGGCATCGTTACATGCCCAGCTGAAAGCTAAAATCGCTCCTGGAGTAGTGCCTGCTGCGTTAGGCGTAGTACTGGCTACGTTTGCTGAAGTCACTGTTGCCGGGTGGGTTCGGTTATTAGTATGTGTTTCAGTCTTGTCGCAAAGTTTTTGTAGTGCGGCTAAAGGGTGGCTGGAGCCCTTTTTACCAGTACTAGTTGACGGTTCGCCAGAACTGTTTGCTCCGGAGAGGTTATCAAACATGGAACTGAGAGCTCCTAAGCTACCACCAGCACTCTTCCGGTCACTTGTTGTGCTTCGAGGTGTACCAGACCTGTCACTGCTTGCCGGACTGCTTGTAGAATTACGACAAGGACTAGTAGACTGAGATGGTTCAACAGTAGAGGTCTGAGGAGATGATGTACGACTCCTCCTTTTCTCGTCCTCCTCCTTAGTCAATTCACCGTTACTATGAAAGCTATGCCGTTCATCTTCTTCATTTTCGTCCTCCTTCTCTTTTTTAATTTTTAGTTCTACCGGTGCTGAAGCGTCTAACGGTTTTTGTTCGTCATCTTCAATTTCCTTCTTTACAACGACGGCAGCTTCAATAGATTCGCTGTCTTTTCCACGTTCTGGCTTCTCTACAAACGGACTTTTTTCTCTTTTAATATCGGGTGTAGAGCGAGGTGTACTGCTCAAAGGTATCCCGGGTGGTTCCATTTTTCTTTCTGGTGTTAAAGAATCCACCCTACTGCTACCTCTCTCCGACATCGAACTAGATTCACTACCACTCCTTTCACGTCGTCCGTAATGACTCTGTTGTTGATGATAACTTCTTAAGAGATTCATAGTTTGGGCATCAACCAATGGTTTTGTATAATCAACACTTTCATCAATCCCCAGTCTCTTAAGTATGCTCGAACCCATGGGCGCTTGAGTATGACCATGGCCAGCGTATCCAGGGTTTTGCCTTGTCCTCGAGTCGAAACTTTTCTCAATCAGTTTTTCGATGGCATTTAAGACCGATGGACTTGACCCATTGTTTGTTTCAGAAGGTGGGTTTGATTCTTTGTTGCTGGTGTCCGAAACAGAAGGAGACCGTTGTTGTGGTGACGGTGATTTATCTGATGGTGTTTTCATTTTGGTTCGTTCGGGACTTTCGGGTGGAAGTATATTGTTGGACATGAGAGCGCTTTTAAGAAAATTTCTTTGATTACTCGTCATGCCACCAACGCATTGCCTTATGTGATCTACGAACATGGTAGTCTCAATTTTGTTACCGCACTTTTCGCACGTTATTCTCCCAGCACCTGTTGGATCTCGCATTTTGTCTAAAATACTGGTACTGTCACCATTTTTAAAGTCATGTTGTGCCCTTTCTAACTCCAGAAGTTTCCTGACTGGTAAAGACTTTTTACGTTTTTCTCTGGTTTGTCTTCTTCGTCCTCCACTTTCAGTTATTGACCTCATAATATGTTCTTTATAATGAGAATTCTTTACCATATGATTACTTAATTCTTTTAAAGAGCTAAACGCTTGATCGCAAACCTTACAAGTCAAGACCGCACTGACGTGACTACTTGCGCTTCCAGGAGGAGTTTGGCTGTTTGGCCCGCTGCTGCTTCCTCCTTTGGCGTCATCTGAGGATCTCCACGAAATGATTTGCTCTTGAGAAATTATATTTGTGTAATGCTGAGTTTCCTGCATATGGCTAGTCATTTCGGCCAACGATCTAAAACTTTGTCCACACCACATGCACTTTAAAATTTGTCTGGTTTGTTCAGCTCCCTTACCAAGCCAAACATCTTGCCCGCGAACAAGCTTCCTTGGTAATGGCATTGTTTCCTTAATAAGCATATTCAAGTCAGATTGGTTTGGTTTACCGGTACTTAAAGATGATGTATTGGAGTTAGTATTCGACGGTGAAGTCATAGGAGACTGCGGTGGCAGACTATTTGATTGCATAGGAGGGACGGGAACATTGACACCACAATGCTTGGCTTCTTTCATATGGGTTGTCAAAGCTGCTAAACTGGGAAAACTTTGTTTACACCATACGCATTTAAGTACGTCTTTTGCTTGCTCGGCTCCTTTGTTTAGCCAGTGACTTTGCCAAGCACTATGCCTATTACTAGATGAGTTTCCCGGAACTGCACTGGCCGCCATTGTTCGAAAAATATCATCTCCTCCTAATTTACTCAGCTCACTCATTTTCTCCAAAGCTTTAGTAGCCTCACTAGGTGCTGGAGCTGAATGTTTAATTTTACCGTTCCATAATTCCGCTGGCGTATTCTTAGGCGACAAACCGGCTGCAGCTACTGCAGCAGCAAAATAGGGTAAATGTTGAGCACCGAGACCCGGTGGCCACTGAGGAATGGTTGGTTTAAATTCCATTTTTGGTTTCCGTTGCGGAGGTTGAGGTAAAGGCTCTTCCGATGTTCTTTTTCTACTACTAAAGGACAAGTCTAACGGTCCATTACCAGATTCGACAGCAGGAGGTGTTTCTGATTTTCTTAAATTAATACAGTCATTATCAGTCTCTTCACTTTTAGTTCTTCTACTGAAATCAAGTATTCCTTCTGCCATACTCTGGGATAGATCAGCTACATTTGATGAGTTTAAAACTCCAGGAGGACTCGAAGCACTTATTAATGGTGAGATTGGAGTTCGTGTAAAGCTAGGAAGTGGCGACGTCATCATAAGCCTGTGAGATTGAACTGCCGCTGCTGCGGCTGCATTAAGGTAGGCAGCCATCGCCGCGGATTGAGGCGGTAAGAGTCCCGCGGGAATGGAGGGTGGTAGCGCAACACCAACCGGGCTTAAAGATGCACCCAAAGGTACGCCTTGAAGTAGAGCTGCACGTTCGGCTAACATTCTTTCGCTTTCACCAGACGGGCAACGAGAAAGCAGTTGCGATTCGGAGGAATCCCGTGAGTTACACCTGGAGGTCGATTCCCTGAAACAAAAAGAGTATTGTAACACAATTGATAACTATATTATAGTTATTTATGTATCAAAGGAATTATCAGGGTGTCAATTACTGATCGCAAAGTCAAATAATTGCCAGAGGTTATTAACACTTAATAATTCCCGTGGCATATGAATAATTTAATTTCTTACTGAATTTAGTATATTTTGTCCTATTTTAAAACGGCACAAATGGTGCATTTATTAATCTTTGGGAGGATTTGTATTAACGCTGCTGGTAGGAACCTTGCTTGTCAATAGAGTTCAGGTTTTTGACAAAAATAACACCTTTCGCATGAATTAGGCACACGTTCGAGTACATTTTCATTAAAATTTCCTATTAAAAAAATGAAGAAGCACGACAAGCGTTATTTCCACCTCAAAGTTACCAAAAGGACCAACTTCAAAGTTATCAAAAGGAATTTTAAAAATACCTTCCGTATGTCGATGATCGATGAAACCGTTGCTTTTTAAATTTATAGTACAGTGTGGTCCGAACTGTATTCCGGAAACTTCGGCAGCATATTCTGCAGATAAAAATAATTAAAAAAGTTCGTATAAATGTCTTAAAATGCTTAGTTTCGGAGATACAGGGTGTAGAAGTTTCATTTTTATTTCGATTTTTTCCAAATAATTTATGAAGTAACGTCAATATTTGGATGAAAATTTGTGTCTGGGAATTTATTTGACATGAGAAATCTGATTTGGATGTCAACATGACTCCTACTTGTAGGGAGCGTCACCTACATATTTTTAACTGGTTTGAAAAGTAATAACTTTTCGTCCGTACCTGTAAAAAAACTGGCGAGTTAAAAAATATGCATTTACGATGTTTTTTAGGTAAAAAAGGTATCTTGGTAAAAATCGCTACGAGTAAGGGTTCTCAAAATATTGGGAATCTAAATTATCAAAATTTGTCATCAATGACATAAATTAATCATGTTGACGAAATCGTTATTAGACTGAAATCATAAATTTGAAATGTGTTTGTGCCAAAACCTCATCAGAAAGTTTTTATCACCATTTCTGAAAAAAACCGAAATAAAAATGACATTTCTATAGTCTTTATCTCAGAAACTAAGCATTTTAGGACATTCACTTATAGGGACTTTTTTACTTTTTTTATCTGCAGAATATGCTGCCGAAGTTTCCGGAATATAGTTCGGACCACCCTCTATATGACATTAATGATATAAATAAATTATTAGAGTAGGTAGATAATAGGTGTCCATTTTTATTTTATATATTATTACTTAAAATATATTAATAATTATAGTAGCTTAATTCCCGTTAATAATGTCCGTAGGGAGTTTTTAATTCAGTAAGAAATGAAATATTTTTTAAATACGGAACAATTAGCAACGAAATTAGTATATATAATTTAGACCTACCTTATGAGGGTTGAATCTTCGTTTAGACTTCTAGGACTCGTAGGAGATGGAACATCTCCAGGATGCGGAGATTGAGCTTCTTCCTCCGGCGGAGTTGGAGAATTGGAAGTTGGTGTAGCGGAACCTCCGTCCTCCTCCCCTTCTAGTTTCTCCCCTTCGTCTGGTGAACCCTCTTCACCTCCTTCCCCTGTAAATAAAAAATATTATTAGTAACCTTATAATTTAGCATTTTTTCAAGATCATACAACAATTTGTTCTTCTATTTTGATAAATACCCATTTAAGTATTGTAACAAAATAGATCAAGTTTCTTTGTCAAAGATTTAATTTTATCAGAGAATTTGACAGTGTAATATGTGTGATTTTATACAATATTGTATATTAACAATGTCAAATTTTTCATCAAATATCTTTTATAAAAGATTTTTGACAAAGAAATTTGATAGTGTAAAAATAATTATATGTTTTACAGCTCATTATCATTATACTTGGTCGTGTATCCTGTAGTTAATGATTATGCCAGCCTTATTCGAATTCTTATGTGTATTCATATTTAATTCACGTTACATAGAATTAATATGAATTACTCTCTTCGTTGATAAGATAAGTATGGAGTAGAAGAAATTGTTTACAATTTTTTTATACTTTAAATCAAACTAAAATCAATTTAAATACTCTCTTAGATTTTGACGGTTTTTGTTTGTTCCAAGCATAGAACGTTCGTTCCAAGCATAGAAAGTTTGTTCTCCGGAATCTGCTCCAAAAATTAATTCCAGAATATTTCACAATACTAGCAGTAATCCCAAACGTTCAATCATAAGCCATAATAACATACATTAGGATAGACGTTATGTACGTCTTTCTTTAACTCTACGCGCTTTAAATGCCACTTATACATTAGCTTTCTTTTCTTGCTAGTTCCTTTATGAAAAGTGTATTAAAAGAAGATGGCTGTGGTAACCAGAACCAAATAATATCCAGGTCGATTAATGTTCGGCAAGCAAACATTTCCCGCTGAGACTTCGCAAGGCCTTGGGAGTGTAATTTGTAACAAAACGCTCGCGCCACGGACACATTAAAAAGCAGGATGTAAGCTTCCATATTTCAATGTGAAACACGCTCGCTTCCATCTTTGATAAAACTCAGACGGGCGAGCGCAAAATTTATGGCGAGTTTCGTTTTTTCCGCCATTAACACCGGATCATCGCGATATTAGTTGGCAATTTAATGTGGGCCAGTTAAAACACTGCAGAAAAGGTTATTTAGCTTACAACAAATGTACAGTCTGTTGCATCGCCGAACTAGACATAGGGAATCCCATGTAAATTTTAAAAATGGTGAATAAGTTTTCCCCATTTTATTCTACAGAAAAAATTATTTGAAACTTTTTAAATAACTCTTAAAATGAAGCAAATTGGTTATTTTCAATGATTTTATATTATATTCAAAAAATAATACGGTCCTAATTAAAATAAAAAACATTCCACTGCTAAGAACAACCGCAAACAAAAACATATATAATTTCCACTTGTCCATACCTCTTGTCAAAGTCAGAAATTAGAAAATCTTTCAAAATTTAAACCGCTCATTGAAAAAATTTCGAAAAGTGTTTAAAACGTCCATTTTCATAGTAATAATAAAATAATAATAAATAGTAATAAATTTGAATAAATAATACTTGGCGATATAATTCCGGAAAAAGCTGAACCGTTCCGAAATTTTTAAAAGTTTCGGCATAGCACCAAATAATGTTAGCACCAATGTAACACCAAATAATGTAAACAGCACCAAATAGTGTTTACATTGTAGGGTTAGCAGCGCCTCAAGAGCATTCTGGAAATTAAAAAACAGGGTTTTCTACAATCATGACTTGAGTACAAAAACGAAACTTGCAGTGTACCGAGCAATTATAATCCCCACCATGTTATATGGGAGCGAAACCTGGGTGCATGGCGTATCGCCGACACATGAACGCATTAAATAAGTTGCAACAGAGACACCTTAGACAACTCTTAAGAATCCGGTGGTTCCATCATGTCTCAAACGTATCGGTCATTGAAAAAGCTAATTGCGAGAGTATTGAAGTCATGGTTACAAAATCCCGCTTAAGATGGGCTGGTCACGTATGCAGAATGCAAGAAAACCGCATACCAAAATCTCTGCTTTACGGTGAGCTTGTAGACGGTAAGAGGAGGCCGGGTGGACAACTCGAAAGGTACAAGGACATTTTCCACGAAAACTTAAAGGGGATTAACATGCAGAATCATTGGGATGAAGCAGTTCACAATAGAACTCAATGGAGAAGAATTGTAAACTCAGTTAACAGCGACAACCAAAAAGTAAAGAGGCAACAAAGCAATGATATATTTGAATGTCCGGAGTGCGGTAGGCAAATAGCATCACGTATCGGGGTTTTCAGTCACAGCAAAACTCATGAAAGAAAACGCCTTGCGTGACCATCTTTTGATGCGTGTCGAATACTCGTCAGCGAGTAATGGCAGTATAGTATATATATACATTGTATGAGCACTTTCCAATCTAAACTTGTTTCATTTATCTATGCTTTTTTGTTGCTAAAAATAATTTCAATTTAATAAAGAAATAATTTTTTTAATGTCATATTTTTATTTTTTTATCTCGAAAACGACAAGAGATAGATTAATGAAATTTCATGGAAGCATTACTATTTTGAAAACACACTTTCTGGTAATTTTTCACTTTTTAAAACAGTGGAAAGGGTTGAAATAAACTTCCCTATCATTCTTGTTAACGAAATTTAAAGAAAATCACTTATCAAACACATCCAAAAAATTAATTTGGATAGCTTAGTTTGCTTAGAAACTTTTTATCTCTTGTGTTTTTTTTTGATAAAACTCACCGATTTGAAATTAAAAAATAAAAAGCGTAAGCATTACATGTCAGGACAAAAAACATTTTTAGATAAAGAATCTAGTGGGCTGCTGTAATTATTTTAGGAAAAAATCTAGTCGGCCGCTGTCACTTTTTAGGACGTTTCTAATATTTATAAGGATTATTAATAAAAATTGCGGATTCTTGTATTTGGGGATATTTAAAAGAATTAGTTTACGCTACACCAGTACAGGATATCGAAGACCTACGAAATCGGATAATTGCATCATGTGATATAATAAGAAATAATCCTGGTATATTTCAGCGTAATTAGGGGTTCAATGTTGCGTAGGATAAATGCATGTATTACATCACAAGGTAGACATTTTCAACACTTGTTGTAAAAGTTTAATTGTTCCTGCAAAAGACGTTGTGTTTTTATTTCAGTTGCAATGTTTAAACAATATTTTTTTAACGATATTATTTTGTACTTTCATGAATTAAAATACAGAATTAAAAATTGTCTTGGTAAATAATTTTTAAGACGTTATCGTTCAGAAGAGGATGTAACGATATTATTACCAAATAAAACTGTTTGGCAGCAGCCCACTAGATTCTTTATCTAAATGGTTTTTTTGTCCTGACATGTAATGTTGTACATTTTATTTTTTAATTTCAAATCGGTGAGTTTTATTAAAAAGCACAAAGAGATAAAAAGTTTCTAAACAAACTAAACTATCCAAATTAATTTCTTTGCATGTGTTTGATAAGATTTTTCTTTAAATTTCATTAACAAGAATGATAGGGGTAGTTTATTTCAACCCCTTCCGCTCGTTTTAAAAAAGTGAAAAAATTACCAGAACGTGTGTTTTCATAACAGTAATGCTTCCGTAAAATTTCATTAGTCTATCTCTTTTCGTTTTCAAGATAAAAAATAAAAACATTATTTTTCCGCCCTCTTTGTACCACGATATCTCCCTAATGGTTGACTTTTGACCCCACGTTTATGAGGCAAACTACCCTTTATTTTGAACAAGGAATCACCCCCTGAAGTTTTTCGCATTTGTTTTGAAACACCCTGTATACATTGTATGAGCAATTTCCAATCTAAACTTGTTTCATTTATCTATGCTTTTTTGTTGCTAAAAATAATTTCAATTTAATAAAGAAATAATTTTTTTAATGTCATATTGACTTGCTAAATATAATATGAATAACACAACTAAAGAAAAAAATAGTTTAGTGGTATTATGAAGAAGAAAGTCTACAGGCTGTAGAAAATTTACTTTCTGTACATTTTCCAAATATGCCAGACTAATTATTGAAAACTATAAATGTAAGTGAAGAATTCCAACATGAAGAGTTATTAAAGACTGTAGATATAAAAACAGTATTAATATTGATGAGGATCACGGAGAAATAATAAATGAAAATAAATTAAATATTCTGTTACCAGTGAAATATGGAAACCAAGTAACTACCAGAATAGTTGGAGAAATAGTCGAAAAACATCGAACCATGAATTTGAAGAAACGTAATATAATATTCCGAACACCAAGAATTATTGGACGGGGATGACATAGGCAAAATTTATCCATTTTTAAGTATTAACAAGTAGGTACTTAAATTTGTGAATTCTTTAGTGATTAATAAATAAATTTTCGGTTTGAAGCTGTGTGTTTACTTATTTACGAAATATATTTAGTTTTTAAAAGATTCTCGTATGTTTAGAGTGTACTTTTTGCAACTTTGTATAGAGAATATAATTGAAAATATTTTTGACAGATCTCTGTAGAAGAAAATCATAATAGATTTAACATATTTTGAAATAATTTGTGAATGTTATATTTGTTTGATTAGGACCGGTATATGGTATACCGGGTGAGTCTCAAAAGTGGCTCACACCTATAACTTTTTTATTTTTTTAGTTAAAAAGACGAGATTTGGTACGTTAGTCTATGACATAAATTAGGATTGATTGATGTATTCAATTGTGCTCGGTCACTTCCGGTTTCACCGGAAATGACTACTTTATTCGATAGAAAATGTCACTCTGAATAGAATGACATATCATATGTCAACTTTTGACATTTTCGCATATGGTTTATTTGAAATTATAACTTGCGGTTCGTAACGAAAATTTGACTCGAAATACCAAGTGTGTAATATCAAATTATTCGTAAAAAAATGCTTTTTCCAAATATGCTAATGAGCCACCCTCGTTCCATTTGAAAAAAATTGAGATATGATTAAAAATACGATTTGGGCATTTTCTAACTGGCCTGGATGAGACACTAAAAACATTAGACGATCAAATCTATTTTTCCAAGGGTCCTTG